TCCCTGCCGTTTGAACCAGTTGGAAGCGGACAGCTCCAGCTCAATGGCTATCTGGACTTCGACGCAGCAGACAACAGAATCTACATCACTCGTGAGTAAAAGTCATTCTCAGTAGTGATCAGGGTAACTGTTCTAGCCAGCCTGATTTTTTTTGCCGTCAACTCAATTTTGTTTGACATCATGTCAAGTGCTGAAGGTACAAGGTGTTGCGCTGGAAAATGTTAAAATTTTAACCTGCTGAAACACTTTTTCCTTCATTTTGGGGAGGTAATTTTACTAGTAGACCAAGCTAAGCTTAGTGACATCTTTTTATGCCATATTTCTTGTATTTCCAGAGTCTGGTACTGAAGGTCGAAAAATCAGCTACATTAACCTGAACACAGCCGGTGGAACTGACCCTGTTATCCTGGATATCATCACAGAAGGTGGGGTTGTGAATTGTTTACCTTTTATGTGATTTTTGGGGTCCTTGGGTTGCAAGTTTTGTATCTGCTTGTGTTGCTTGGCGGGTGGGAGGTAATTTGGACAGTTGATTGACGAATGGGGAGTCCTGAAGTCACCCCAGCATGGGGTAGGTGCGAGTAAGTGGGCTGTATGTGGAGGAATGCAGGAAGTAGTGTAATACATGTACCTTATTGAATTACACCATAACATTACAGTCCCTCCACAGTTACCATTCATTAACAAAAACCCACAGCACTTACCAGAAGTTATTGAACTTGAAGATCAGAAAAATACCAAATACTTTCCAGCAGTCTGAAGTATCACTGATTTTTTTTCTTCTTGTTACAGGGCTGCGCTATCCCACAGCGATAGCCTTTGACTGGGTCGCCAAGAAAATCTACTGGAGTGACGGTTACCCCTACAAGATACAGTCTGCTAATGCTGATGGGAGCAGCAAAGTAGACATTGTGACTGGCATTAATTATGTTTATGCCTTAGCTCTGGATCCATGTAGAGGGTAAGTTCTTACATGTACATTGTATGATTGATCTTAACCTTGCTACCTAGCCCCATAGCCAATACAAATTTAGTGGCAAACGGCTGCCTTAGCAGGCTGAAAGTTAAAAGCACTCAATGTTTTTCTTTTGAATTGTGATATCTTTGTGAAAATTTTCAGGTACCTTTACTGGACCCAGTATGGGGGGATTCAGAGGGCGAGCATGGGGGGTAACAACAGGACAACACTTGTCCCAAACACTGGTTTGGCTTACGGACTGGCTCTGGACTTTGATGAAAACAAGCTCTACTTTTCCGACTTGTATGGGTAAGTCACCTGTTGTTATTATATTTAATATTTGAATAACCTAAACGTAAACTGTGTCCATCCAACTCTTTCTTGGACCCTCTTGTGGGTTTTGGCCTTCCACATCTGAGTCATCCATTATGAAGATCTTTCTAGTAGGCACTTCTTACTGTTTATTCTTTGGAGTTGGCCATACCATCTTAATCAGCAAAACCTTGCTATGTCCTGAATGCTATGGACTCCCAGTCTGGTTCAGTCTTAACTGTTTGGTTGACTGACTCCAAATGTATCTGCAAGTTTCCTGGAGCATATCTATTAGACCATGGCATTGTGACTCCTAGTTAACCTCTTCCTATCCTCTGTTGTCACTTTCCATGTCTCAGATGCATAAAGTAGGACACTTCTTAATACTTGAGTGAAAGACATACCCAATAACAATGTATTTCCTGGTACAGGGATACGATTGAGAGGGTGAACATGGATGGAACCGGGCGTGAGACTGTCATCACATCGAGTCAGGCGCCCAACGGTATCGCGATTAGCGGGTCATACATCTACTGGACTGACTCCAGCATACGGGCCGTCCTTCGTGCCGAGAAACACACCGGAGCCAACCAGATCCGCATGGTGCAGGGTCTGACCGGTTTCATCCGGGACATTCATGTCTTCTCAACCTCCAGCCAACAGTGTGAGTAAAGATGTATAGTGATCCAACTGTGGTTACATTTAGATATACAATACAGTTGTATAGGTTGTCTTACTCGCAGTTTTACTTGCATGAGGACACTTTTATTTTCAATGTCAATGTTGGAAAACCGATTGTATAATAACGTTTCATTACTCAGATGTCAGATCACGGAGCTAGAAAGGTCGATCAGCGCAATGAATTTATGTCCCTTGCAGGGGTCCACACACAAAAACAGGCTAGGGTCGGTCGGGAAACCAGAAACACAACATTTTTTTCTAGGCCTCAATAAACCATTTCAACCAATCGACCAATTTTGTTTTAGGCTCCAACAATCCGTGTGAAAATAACAATGGCGGCTGCAGCCACTCGTGTCATCCCGCGCCCAGCGGCGGAACGGAATGCGCCTGTCCCAACGACGGCAACTACAAACTGGCCAATGGCGGCAAAGACTGCGTCCGTAAGTACAGTTTATTTTAAAACTTAATTTGCAACTACATAAAGTTTATTATTAAAGGCACTCATGCGATTTCAGGGCAGCAAAACTTGATTTGATTTTCAAAGTCAATTTTCTGGTCATTTCTTAATTTATTAAGTTGAATCAACCTTTTCCCATAGCATACTGATCAGTGATATCTGTGAGGCAAAAATATGATATTGCTGACATATTGTAGCCTAGTTTGAGCTATTTATTGGTGGTACCCCAAAAATAAAGGGACTCTTCATGTATCTTAACTGTTTTCAGGCTATTTCAAACACTTACATTTGTAAGTATGAACTGATGACAAACATGTACTTAGAAATAGCAGTAAATGTCAATATCAGACAGAATTTCTCATCCAGAATATTTTTTGTATTGCTGTCCTGAAATTGCATTAATTATTACTGTAGATGCCTTTAAATTCTTTCAAACAAGCATCAATCTTTTAGTAGGTTCACATACATGATTGTACAATGTACTGTGCAAGACAGAATAACAGGTCTGATTGTTAGAGTGCCTTAAATTATTCATGATTTTACATTTGTTTTCCAACATTCTTATAATAAGTGTGTAATCCATACCATTCAGGTCGAGTGGTGTCATCCTCTTAGGATACTGACTGAATACTTAATAGAATTTTTGGATGAGCCAATTTGTTTTTCACGATTAATAATTCATACTGATAACTTGCTGTAAATGTCAGTATCACCAAGTCTGCAGTATGGATAGGAACCTCTGGTTGTTCTTGTCAAGCCTGTTGTTTACACTGAGTTTGTCCTATGTTTCAGGTAAGAGAAGAGTTTATTTTACATGTTAATGTATGTCTGACACCTGTTTTCCCTCTGCAGCTGCCAACAGCACCTGCAACGAGCAGTGGCAGTTCACCTGTCAGAACGGCAGGTGCATCCCGCAGCGATGGAAATGTGACATTGATAACGACTGTGGGGACAACTCAGATGAACTCCCCAGAGTCTGTGGTATAAAAACTTGCTTTATTCCATAGTTCAACAAGTAACATCATCAGGAGTATACTTATTAGGGGAATCTCTAGTTTTGCTGCTTTTTTTATTATTACAGTAAATTCATTTACTCTTGGTGTGGTCTTATTGTAATTATGTGTTGTTTATCTTTTTTCTTCAACCCAAGGGAGTGTCAGTTTGTGTGTGTGTGTGTGTGTTTCTGACTTTGCATGAAGGGGGTGAAGTCTGCCGTCTCTGATTGCCATGTCTCTATTTGAATCTGACTGATGAAAGGTGAACACTTTGCCTCCTCACAGCTGACCATACGTGCCAGGCGACAGACTACACCTGCAACAACAAGCGCTGCATTCCAGCGTATTTCAGGTGCGACCACGACAACGACTGCAGGGATAACTCTGATGAAGCCGACTGTGGTGAGCTTGCCAATAATAACTTTATTTTTAATTAGTAAATTCAAATTTATTAGGCTTAAGCATGTCCCATGACCATCCCTAGTTAAGGGACTGATTTATTGATTATCGATAGTTAATAATTGTATCCCAGCTTAAAGTGACTGATTTCTTTATTATTGATCATTTTTTATTATTGATAATCATATCCAAGCACAGTGAGTTTCCAGGTACCACTAATGGTGTAAAACGAGTACCTGACTTTGGTTGGGGGAATAAAAGACAATGGAAGGTGTGGAAGGGCTTTGTTGGGCATTGCTCGGGGTGTGTTCAAGGGTCAAATTTAACTCAAACTCGACTGTATAGAAAGATAGGCATTGTTTAAATCTGGTCAGACTTCTCCCAAACTTCAGCCAACCTGGTTTGTTGGTTGGGGGAAGGTTCTGAATGTGTGACAGTGGCTTAAGTGTTAACGTCATAGATCTTACATCCCTACAGAGTACCCTGACTGTGGGGATGGTGAGTTCACGTGTGACAGCGGTCGCTGTATCCCTGAAATACAGCGCTGTGACGGGTACAACCACTGTCGCGACAACACCACCTCTGATGAGATCAACTGTCGTAAGTCTCAAACGTTCACCCTTTTCATTTGTGCTCTACACTTAGAATGTCCCCTTTTATCTGCAAGTTTTCTAGACATGAAAATTGTTGCCTAATTATTACTTCTAGGTACGGAAGTATTGTTTTGGGTGGCTGAGTTGTGTGGGTTTGCATTCCTATAGTTGCATGCATGTTGGATGGGAAGTGATTTGGACAGTTGATTGATAGGAAGGTCAAGCCTGAAGGTGACCTGGCATGTGCTGTTTGGGAGTACAAATGTACATGTAAGTGGGCAGTATGCAGAGGAATTCAGGAAGTGACGTAATACCCGATTGAATTACATCATTTCCCAATACATTCATGAAAACCTAGATGTCTGTTAACTTGAAGGTGCCAAAAAAAAAACCAAGTGCTTCCTAGATGTCAGAAATGTCTGATTTCTTCTTCTTTTATAATCTCAGCACCAAGCACCTGCCGTCCCAACCTTATAAAGTGCTCCACGACCAACGTTTGTATCCCCCGCTTCTGGCTCTGTGATGGTGACAACGACTGTGGCGACAACTCGGATGAAACACCCACCTTCTGCTGTAAGTTTCATCAGTCAGGACACATAATCTAGACTGTGTCATATAATTTGATAATCATTGTAGATTGTAGCTGTTGAGACAATGTACAATGTTCATGTATTGTCAGATTTGTAATGATCATACCTACATGTAGTAGAGTATTGATGTGTAGAAATTCGAAAGTTGATTTGAAAGTTGAAATTAGCCTTCAGGCATGATTTTGCAAATAAAGAATATGACTGAAGAATGCCCTATTGTCTCCCAGTGGCTGCCACCTGCAGTGCGAGTGAGTTCCCGTGCTCCAGCGGCCGCTGTCTCCCTGCCAGCTGGCACTGTGATGGAGACAACGACTGCGGGGATAACTCTGATGAACCAGAAGATGTCTGTTGTAAGTGTAGATTTCTTTGCTGAAATTCGAAGCCCAGTCCTGAAATGGTTCCAAGAGAGCTTGGTGGAGTGAGAGAGAGTTTTAAGTCCTTGTTAACTCTGTGTATGGAGGTTTTGTTTTTGGTGTGTCTGTTGGTGTGTTTCTATGGTTAGTTCCACATTTTTTGGATGCTAGGGACACTGACAGGAAGTTAGGCCAAAGGTCCCAGAAAAGGTTATCTCATTTCCTGCTATTGTCTGCATGTCTATTGCCTGATGGGAGCCAGAGAAAATGCATTGAATTCTTTATACAGAATCAGCGATACATTGACAGTAACATTCACAAAACTCTGACTCAATATTTGTATGGTGAGGTCATCAATTTTTTAAAATGATTGTAAAAGCCTTTTTTTCATCTGTAAGTTACAATAAGTGCCATATATGTAATGTACTAGTATGTGACGTCGAATGTTTTGAAAATCTGATTTTGTTGATCAGAGAGACTTTGTGGTCTGATTGTGGTAATTAATATCATAAAGCCTGTAGCTACACATTACAAAATATATTGAAGTTTGTAATGCCTGTCTCGATATCCAGCCAATCCTGACAGAACATGCTATGGTGACCAGTTCACCTGTGACAACGGGCGCTGCATCCCGGGCAGATGGGTCTGTGACAACGACAACGACTGTGGGGACATGTCAGACGAGGATGAGCGCCACAATTGCGGTGATTATTGCAGTATATCAGACTCTGCGTTTGCAAGTGGCCAATTTGGCCAAGTGGGTATAGTGCTCGCCTTGGATTTCTATATATTTTAAAACTATACAAATGTACGTAAATGACTCTAATGATGCAAAAATACTCTACAAGCCCAAGAGTACAAGAAGGTAGTATACAGTATATGGTAGTATACAGGTATGTATATAGTTCTGACATGCCTGTGTTTACCGCAGATGAAAGACCCTGTGGGGACGGCTACTTCACCTGCTCACATCCCGCAGCTAATCAGCGCAGGTGCATCCTGCAGAGGTTTGTTTGTGACGGAGACTCAGACTGTCCTGATGCAGAGGATGAACATCAGAACTGCAGTAAGTACAACTAATGTCAATTCCAGTTTCTCATATTTCTCTGCAACAAGAGGACTTAGGAAAGGGTTACCTATACATGTGACAGATATTTAATAGTTGGTTGCTTGCTTGCTTCTTTGTTTGGTTGGTTGGTTGGTTGGTTGGTTGGTTGGTTGGTTGGTTGGTTGGTTGGTTGGTTGGTTGGTTGGTTGGTTGGTTGGTTGGTTGGTTGGTTGGTTGGTTGGTTGATTTCTTGTTTGGTAGGTATTTACATGTACATGTAGCAGAATGCCTGCTTACATGTCTAAGTGCTGATGATCAGGTGAGGCACTGGCCCCTTGTTCCTCTTTTTATGACTTGCCAGGCTGCACAATTTATGGCTATTGTTTCTGCTACATAAGTGCTAGTTCTTGTAGTACTGTTCTTAGCAGGATGACTCAAATATGTTTTTTGTTCATCCATGTGAGTATTAACGAGGATGTTCATGTAAATTCCTGACTTTTGCTTTGGCTGAAGAAAAAGTAACTTTGTTACTTTGGTTAGTTCATACCATTGTACAACAATGTTATGTAATACAAATGTTGTATAATAATATCTAGAATATTTCTGCAAATGAGAAAAAGTCCTGTAATTATTATAGTAAAAGATGTACTAATGATGAAAAAAATCTCATCAGCCCGTCGGACGTGTCTGGAGGATGAGTTCACCTGTGATAACGGGCTGTGCGTCAGCAGCGGGTCCCGCTGTGATCATTACAACGACTGTGGAGACCACAGCGACGAGAGTAACGACTGCAGCTACCCCAGCTGTAACCCCCAGTACCAGTTCACCTGCCAGAACGGCCGCTGTATCCCGACACGGTGGACCTGCGACGGAGACAACGACTGTTTCGACGGGTCCGATGAGCTGGACTCACTTTGTGGTGAGTGAAGTAGTTTTTGTTTCCAGCATTAGGTTGGTTCTAACACAGCCTGATAGAAAACTCTACCACATCAGAATCATATTAAAACCTATGACCACCCAGTGTTATAAAGAACATTTAGTCTCGAATTCCTGTTAAAAGCATGTATTACGTTTAGCTGTTAGTTCAATCAGGAATTTTTGGTGATCACATATAATGTCATAAGTTGATACAATGTACATGTAGAGTAGTTAACTATGTGTCTAATGTATTAGAATTGGTTCCATTGGATGATTGTCTCTGCTACTAATGGCTCAAGTAAACCCTGGATTGTGTCTTTATATATTAAGTGATGTCACCCATCTTTTTAGTAATATGTACATGTTATGTTACTAACAAAAAGGTGATGTCTGAAATTGTCAGCAGTTGTTGTGAACATAGCACATATTATGTACTTCATTTATGTCAAATTTCTTTTCCCCCTGAATACGTTCTAGTGACACAAATGCCGACCTGCCCACCTAACCAGTTCATGTGTAACAGTGGTCAGTGTATTGCCAACAACCTTGTCTGTGACGGCCGCTACGACTGCCCTGACAACAGTGATGAGGCCCACTGTGGTAAGTGTTAGGAGTAAGATGTTTAGTCCTTTGGAAACCCCCTTTGTGGCAATATGTGTACTTTGGTATCAGGAATGAACTACAGTCAAACCTGCCAACTCTTCAAGCTGGCCACCTGTCCATGGTGACTGCTTTTTCTCAGTCCCCAAAATTTTCCCCATTGATGCAAGCATTAAGTAACCTGTGTCCAAGGTGACCAACTGGACCAACTGGAACACATTTCATAGATATGGTGACCAGCCCCTCAAACTCTGTCTTTGCTAAATAATGTAAAAAAAAACACCAAAGGGTGTCTGCTACAGCACCAGTTGCCATGGTGACAGCCATCTGGTCCAAGGCATTGACTTGTGTGTTTGGACACGAAAACAGAGCACAATATGTTTTCCTTCTGCAAAGGGGAACATAATAAATCTAGCTGCAACAGTGTTGTGTTTGACAGTGTCTTGTATTCTTCATACCCACAGGTATAAATGAGTGTCAGAACCCAGCAGTGAGCCAGTGTGAACACAGATGTGTGGACACACAGACCAGCTATCGCTGTGTGTGTAACACTGGATACGTCCTTATGCCTGATGGAAAGGCCTGTTCAGGTTAGAACACACTGTCTCATCTTTCCATGGCAAATATTTATTATACACATTGAATATTATTGTGTCAGTTTCAATAGTCATCCATATTCTGTATTCACGTAACAATAAAAGCTGCTGTTGAAAATGTCAAAATATGTGGTCCTATTCGTATTGTTTCAGATATTGATGAGTGTACAGACACACCGTGGGTGTGTAGTCAGGGCTGTGAGAACACTCCCGGCTCCTACATCTGTAAGTGTGGAGATGGTTACCTGAGGGAACCTGACGGTTCCACCTGCAAACATACCGCAAGTAAGTTTTTAAAAAACTCTCTTGTCTTCCAGTATATCCATAAAGGTGGCAAGGTGGACTTGGGTTGTTGACTCAGAATCTGAAGGTTTTGGGTTCGAATCCCTGGCAGGCCCCATTGTTGTGTCTTTGGTCTCCTTCACAGAGTAAAAATGCAAATATTTCACGGACATGCCACTGCTCTCCAGTCATTGGTGGAGTTGAAATTTCCTTGCTATCATTGGCCAAACTGATAATTGCCATGCTGTCATTGGTTGAACTGATAGTTGTGTTAGGCAGTCAGTATCAATATATTGTCAACCTAAGCTGTGTATCCATTTGCAAAGAAGAAGAAGACAGGTATTTGTGATAATGTTCTTTTACCTGTATCTCCCTCAGCTGTGGAGCCCTACCTTGTCTTCAGCAATAGATACTACATCAGAAACCTGACAGTGGACGGAAGCAGCTACAACCTCGTCAAGCAAGGTCAGAACATAACAAACCTTCATGTACAAAAAGCCACAGTTTCTTTCTACATGTGATTATACTAGTAACATGGCCTAGAAGGTTGGTAATTCTTTTTAATGTCTTTGTTGTTGGTTGGGACAATCCAAAGTGAAGTTTTCCTTTGTTATGTTGCAGGACTGACCAACGCTATCGCTATGGACTATGACCTTCAAGAACAGCGGTACTACTATTCCGACCTGGGCACAAACCTGATCAAACGCATGTTCATGAACGGTACGGGAGAGGAAACAGTCATCGATCAGAACATTCCACTGGTGGAGGGGATGGCTGTAGACTGGGTTGGAAGGTACAGTAGCCCAGTTGGTTTCTGTATAATAAGTTTCAGATGCAATACGAGGGCCAGCAAGTAGTAGGCAAAAAGTGGGTGACGATTGGTTGATTTTCCTACCAATAATTTGCATACAAGTTCAAAGAATTTGCATTTATATGATGTAAACAAAAACAACGATCGCTCGCATAAATGCTTATTTTAGCATAAAATCTACCTGTTGAATTGGGATCTCTACATAATTTGGTAAAATCACAGATTCCACCAGCTTGGAGTCTCTACCTTGACATATATATGAAATCTCTTGTTTGTTTGTTTGTTGATTTGTTGTTTGTGTTGTGTTGATGACCAGGAAGCTGTACTGGAACGACAGGAGGATGAAGAAGATGTTTGTGTCGGAGCTGAACGGGAGGTCCCGCAGGACGCACCACCAGGGCTGCATCAGCAAGAACAACACTGACTACTGCATGCAGGAGCCCAGGGCGCTGGCTGTGGATCCAAAAGAAGCGTAAGAAGCAGTACACCTCAGTTATAATTAAGGGAATTAATTTGTTGTACAATGTTAAAGTTTATTCCAACACATAGAGTACACCTTTGACAGGATAGTCAATGACCAATCACTTCAGAACGTAAACTTGTCAGTTTTTAAAACATTTCTTGTTTGTCTTCCAGGTACATCTACTTCACAGACTGGGGTTACCGTGCGTACATCGGCCGGATCTCGGCAGACGGGACACAGAAGGAGGTTCTGATCACGGAGAAGGTCAGCTGGCCCAACGCCCTGACCATGGAGTACGCCACCGGCAGGCTGTTCTGGGCAGACGCTCATCTGGACTTCATCGAGTCAGTACTGTAGTTTTCTCAAGGTTTAAACAATGCAAATTAAGTACAGTATACTTTAAATTTTGCATTGATAGATGGAAAAACTGTAACAACTAGGAAGAAAAGGACTTCCAACAGTTTGGGGCAAAATATGAGCATATTTGAGTTGATTTTTTTTTTGCAAATCAGAGTAAAATGAAGAAGTGAATCTGAGAATCAACAAATTAAATTGGCGTGGCCTAAAATTATTAATAAATTTGTCTGTTTCCCTAAAGGTTCTGTAACAAAGATGGCAGTAACCGTCACACCATCATTGGCCCCGCGGCTGACGGCACGGCGCCCCACCCTTTCGCCATGACGCTGTTTGAAGACTGGATCTACTGGACAGACTGGAACACCAAGACCGTGGAGAAGGCTCGCAAACTGAACGGAACCGAGAGAACCACCATGGTCAACACCGTCCACCGGCCTATGGACATCCACATCGTCCATCCACAGAGACAGATGCCATGTAAGTTTGGGAAGGGGGAGGGGGGCAGACTTTTTTGGGATGTGGCATTGAATATGGTATTCTAGACTCCCTGTCCTTGGTGCTGAATTCAACCAAAATTTCATACAAACTACGTAATCTTACAGGAACTGTATAGAGCATATGGCATTCCTGTCCTTAGTACTGAATATGTTGTTCTAGTCAGACTGTCCCTGTCCTTGGTTCTGAAACTTCTCAGAAAGTTATCTTAAAGTAACTGTATAGAAGATATGTCATTCCTATTCATGGTACTACATATGCTAGTCAACAAATGTAGTCCCTGTCCCTGTCCTTGGTGCTGAACACAAATGAATCTTCACACAAAGTGGGAGTAAGTCTGAAGGAAAATTCATGGTAAATTCCTGGATATTTGAAGTACATTCCACAATACGTTTCACAATATAATAATGCATTCTTACTTATAATGCATACCTACTTCCTGATAGTTTGAAATGTCTGATTTCTTGTTGTATGATGTCCAGTTGTGAACCCGTGTGGAGACAACAATGGCGGGTGTTCCCACCTGTGTCTGATGTCCCCGGAGAGGAGAGGCTACACCTGTGCCTGTCCTGACAACTTCAACCTGGGCTTTGACAGGTCAGGCAGTTTGGGACAGTGTTCTAGCCAGCGTCTGTCTTTCCTTCGTTCTACAGAATTTTGTTGCTCATGACAGATAAAAATTGTGCCCAATCTGTCATCTTTGACGGACAAAAATCTGCATGTAAAGATATGGAGAGAGGTGTTATTAAACTAAGCTTAGACTACCAGCAAAATTTGCCCCTCAAAATGCAGGAAATAGCAATTCAAAGGGTCAAGCTGTCAACATTTTTGGGGGGAGCCAGATGCCCCCCACCCTCCTAAGATTGGTGCGACGATGATGCTTCTCAAACAAAACCGAGATGCCCCCGATAATTTCGAGCTGGCTAGAACACTGGTTTGGATCCTACTCAACCGTAGTTGCATCAAATAGCTGAGTGGTAAGGCTAGCAGACATGAGATCTAGAGGTAATGGGTTTGATCCCTGACATTTCTGACTAGATGTTGTGTCCTCAAGATAAGCACCTGAATTCAGCTGGGGAAGTAAATAGGGGTGGAAGGAAAGGGGTGGGCACCATGCTTCTATGAACTCAGCATTGAAAACAACAACCTTTTGCTGACTTGCAGGAGAACGTGCATCGCCAACTGTGCAGCTAACCAGTACCGCTGTGCTGACAATGATCGCTGTATCCCTGACCTGTGGAAGTGTGACGGGGAGGAGGACTGTAGAGACGGGTCGGATGAACCGGACAGCTGTCGTACGTACTGTTGACAAAATTGCTATGCTCCGAATTGCTCTTAAACACATGTACTTGTCCTTGTAAACAAAACATGGTGACCATCAGCATTCATTCAGTTACATGGACCTTGGTAATATTTGTTGTTCTTTTTTTCATTTGTGCAGCACCGCGCCATTGCCCAGCGGGTACTTTCCAGTGTACTAACCTGAACTGTACCTATGCCTACTACCTCTGTGATGGGGATGATGATTGTGGGGATGGCTCGGATGAAGATCTCAACTGTGGTATGTGTTAACATTTTATTAGAATCAGCACAAAGAATGATTGTAAAATAATGTTGAAAATCTTTATGTATACCTTCTGGGCAACTGGGCAATTTTAGTGTTACATGTATACGTATTTGAAATGACAGTCTTCAACTTGTCTGTATTTGTAATAGCGTGTGTAGTACAGTGGTTAGTAACCCTGCCACTGGACTGAGAGGTTGTGAGTTTGAATCCCGGCTGTGTAGCTTACCCAATATGGATGCTGATAAAAAACCACAATCTACTGCTCATTGTACAAAATGTACTTGTTGAAAAGAGCTATGGGAATGGTACAATAAACCTGTATATGCTAATGTACTGCATGAGTCTCGACCAGTGGAAGAGTAATTCAATTGTTCATTGCATTCATTTGAGCTAAACTGGTTTGTGACTATTTTTCCTCTCTGTCTGGTAGATGACCGTCCGTGCAACCCCGGTCAGTTCAAGTGTAACAACAACCGCTGCATCGCGCAGGCCTGGCGCTGTGATGGGGACAACGACTGTGGAGACAACAGTGATGAGGACCAGGAGTACTGCAGTAAGTACAGTACAGTCAAACATAATGTCTCAGCAACCACTCAAGGGACTGAGGAAAAGTAGTTCCTCCAGACAGGGTTGGTTGCATGGATGGTAATAGGCTTATGCTAGTATGTGTGATACAAAGTTACAAACTCAAAATCCATTAAATAGAGCATGTTCTATTCGGTTCATTTGCACAATGCCTGTGCACCTTAATTCCCAGGCAAGAAACCTGTCTACAAAAGAGGCCCATACATGTAGGTTACATAAACTTAGTTAATTGTTTTACGTTCCATAGAAACTATCAATTTGGCCACTGAGTGGGTGGTGAATGCCCTCGGGATTGTAAAAAAATGTATGATATATAAGTATCATTTAAAAGACAACAAAACATGACAAAAATTTGTATGGAATTTGTTAAGTGGTCAAATTTTGGCTGTTGCTCAGTGGTTGCAACCTCTAGTAGAAAAGGGGTTGTAAGGCATTCACCCTTGTGTATTTCAACCTTTTCCCCCACAGGTACCCGTACATGCGCCCCCGGCCAGTTCACCTGTGGTAACGGCTTCTGTATCCCCGACACCTGGGTGTGTGACTGGGATAACGACTGTGGAGACAACAGCGACGAACCTGCTGAGACTTGCCGTGAGTTTACACAAATCTTACAGTGTTAGAAAGAACCCTGGAGCTAGAAATTTGCAAGCACTTAGTGTAACAATATAGTAATCAAAAGCAAAGCCTTTTAGCAGGCCTCAAAATACATTTCTTCTGCATACCTGCATGGCTCCAATACATTTTTTTTTTCAATATAATGGATACATGCATCATTTCTCCATTCAGTCATCTTGTCATTTTGTGCATGATATTGTGCATTGTAGGCCATCAATCATGTCTTTTTCAATAATGATAAATGATTTATTAGCTTCCATATCCTCTTTGCTCTGTGGTTCTGTCTTTCAGTTAAGAATTTGCGGGTAGATATGTGAATATGTTTAATTTAGTTTGCCAGAAGCAGTAGAATGGACTGGAAAAAAGTAGCAGCAGACAGCTTTAGTAAGGATTAACAGAGCAGTACAACATGTAATTTGTTAGGCTGGACAATGTTAACATTAACATAATCCATTTCCTTTGCAAATGTTACCTCTCTAGTTTTATATTCAACTTTCCTTCACCACTCTTCCAGGCACGGATCCTCAGTACCATTGTGACCCGCATAACGACTTCTCCTGCCGTACAAACTACCGCTGTGTGCCAACCTGGGCCATGTGTGACGGATTCAACGACTGCAGAGACAACAGTGACGAGGCTGATGACCTGTGCCGTAAGTTCATCCTTTACTCCTACTCCTATATCTACTAAAGGCGAAGATTAGTGTTGAACTGATGTCTGTCGGATAGGACGCTTCATGTAAATGGAGGTCTCGTGTTTGAGGAGAGCCACACCAGAAAAATGGAGGTTTCTCAGAACTGTATGTTCATGGTGGTGGCAGCTGCGGAAAAAATAAATTTCTTAGCGGTAATGATAAGCTTGTACTTCAAACGTGACCGCGAAAACTGCAAACATAAAATTACAGTGAAAAAATTTTAGCATTTAGAAACACCATTTGTAAGCTCCTCACAGTTCAGCCCCTGTTTGGGTAGCTACTGTAACAGTAGTCTGCCCACCCAATAACAACAACAAATGTTTGTTGTGCAGAGTCCATGACGTGTGCACCAGGAGAGTTCCGCTGTGACAACCATCGCTGTATCCCCGAGCGCTGGCACTGTGACTATGACAATGACTGCGGGGACAGAAGTGATGAAACTGGCTGTCGTAAGTACTGTCTGCTTTCTGTTGGTTGTGCAGGCACCTTTCAACTCCTACTCTCCAAGCAGAGGTTTGGCTTCAGCTTATTTTTGGTGTGTTTTTAGGTGTTTTTATTGGGCTTTCCTTTCTGTACTGGTACTTTTTTACGCCAGCGGGTGGCAAATGGTATACTTGATATACTGTTTTTTTACATTTGTTTTCAAAATTCCCTCTGGAAAAAGAAACACAAAATTGCTTGTAGTGGCACCTCGTAATCTCTGTTATTGCCTGTGCATATATTAATCTGTTGTAAACAAAATATACATGTAAGTCTAACATTCTACAGCCCATGTTGCTATTTGACCAACTGCTAGTGTCAAATGTTAATGTGCTTTACAGCTTTAGCTGCTACTTGACCATACGTACATTTTAGCTTCTAATATCTTGTATGATCCTTTGCTGAATTAAAGCATTTTTAAGATCACTGTTCACTTCACATTCAAGTTATTTTGTCTTATATTTTACATTATTGATGTTTTTCCACATGCAAACATTACAGAAGACAAAGGTTTTTGATCTTGCTCTGTTTACTGATTTTTTGTCATAACAATGCATGGACTAATAAGTGAAATGCCTGATTGCTTAGAAATTCACACATATACATGCTTGTAGCACTGATTTCATGATTCAAAGTACTTTCTGTTGGGTGTGCAGGCACTGGTACTTTTTTACGCTAAGGGGTGGCAATTGGTATACTTGATATACTTTTTTTTACATTTGTTTTCAAAATTCCCTCTGGTAAAAGAAACACAAAGTTGCTTGTAGTGTCATCTCGTAATCTCCTTATTGCCTGTTCATATATACGTATTAATTGTTTTTAGGAAATATTGTGACAAAATTGTACCCTATTCAGGGAGAATGCAGATACATGTATGCTCTCTCTATATATAGCTATATTGTATGTACATTTTGAGTATTGTGCTATAAAGTTTGAACATATTATCCAGAATCAACAGAAAAGTGAGCTGTAAGAAATTGACAAGTAGACGTTGATATGATAGTTAATGCTTACTAGTTTTTCCAAAATGAGATTTGACACTGTTGTTGTGTTGGTGTGAACAGCTCCGCGGGAGTGCAGTGAGAGCGAGTTCCGCTGCGGGAACGGGCGCTGTATCCCGGGCAGGTGGATCTGTGACCATGACAACGACTGTGGCGACCAATCAGACGAGCAGTCGTGCGGTAAGTAGAAAAATCGCAACTTCCGCAACAAATGAGTCATCCTTTTCATGACCTTCCTTTGTCACCTATACAATAAATAGCAAGGCTTGCTATATTTTCACCACTATTTGCTGGTCATTAACCTTTCGACCAAGAGGTTGGGAGTTCGAATCCCAGCTGTTGTTGCTCACCCGACATACACGCTACTAGTGAAGCGTTGCAATCCTTGGGATGAGATGTTATGCTGTGGTCAACTTTCATTGTGCTTATTGAAAAAAACTAGAGGACTTTTCCTGGTACAATGAACCTGTAAATACTGTACATACCAGTAGTGTCTGTTTTCTCTGTTGCAACCAGTGGGAGACAAGCTCTTCAGTGAGCTAAAACTTGATCAAGATCACTTTCCTTCAAGAGCTATTTGACATTTGTAGTGTTACAGAAAGGGGGACGCAATAAAACATTTTTACTCTTTGTGTTCCCCAGAGGTGATGAGTTGTGCTCCTGACCAGTTTGAGTGCCAGAGTGGACACTGTGTGGACCAGAGGTTTGTGTGTGACGGTGACCGTGACTGTCGGGACTCCTCGGACGAGTTCAACTGTCGTAAGTACACGTCATGTATCTCAAATGTAGCTGAATTTATCATTGAATTAAAGGCCCCTTATATGTGTTTTTAAAGAATCATAGACTATTCACAATTTTAATGTACCTACAATTTGTGTCTTCTGTTGTAAACAAATATAAGTCTAACATTCTACAGCCCCTGTTGCTATTTGACCAACTGCTAGTATGGCATGTTAATGTGCAGGTATACAGCTTTAGCTGCTACTTGACAATACGTACATTTTAGCTTCTAATATCTTGTATGATCCCTTGCTGAAGTAAAGCATTTTTAAGATCACTGTTCACTTCACATCCAAGTTATTTTGTCTTATAACATAAATTATTTTTTCCACATGCCAACATTACAGAACACAAAGGTTTTTGATCTTGCTCTGTTTTACTGATGTTTTGTCATAACAATGCATGGACTAAGTGAAATGCCTAATTGCTAGAAATTCACACAAATACATGCTTGTAGCACTGATTTCGTAAAATCAGCATTTAGAACATGAATAATAGTATGTACAACATTTAGCAAGCGGTAGAAAACTTATTTTTTGATTGCATTTTAAACTTAGTAATCACTAATTAGTAAAATGATTGAGTCTTCACATACATTTAATACATGTATGTTGTTGAATTTCAGCCACGAGATACCCAGACGGTAGCTACTGCCCAGCTAACAAGTTTGAGTGTGACAACACCATCTGTATCCCCAAAACATGGCGCTGTGATGGGGACGACGATTGTGGGGACGGGTCAGATGAAACCATGCAGATTTGTTGTAAGTTCTCCCATAATTTTCAATTTAACACCAAAAATCACCAAAATATTTTGTTAATTTCCCAAGAGCCCTATAGTATCTAGTGGAACTGTAGCTGTCTTTACAAGCCAATGAGGATGCAATGTATTTATTTTGAAAATTATCCACTGCAGGTATACCATTTATGAATCCTGATTGGTCAGGAATAGGCCAATGATATAGCTCCTTGTTATTTTAAACAATCCAGGGATCCAGTCTTATTTTTTAATGCTTGCTGTAATTTTTCTGACACTGACCTTCCCCAACTGCTATGGTATCATCTAATACCAAAATTTGCATTTACTAGAGCATATCATCAAGTCTATCTCTAGAAGTGATCATAGATTTCTTCAATCTTAATGTAGAGGACAGTCATTTAAACATGAACTTCCATGCCAACTTACAGGAAAGAAATCAGCATTATTAACCTGCCTATCTCCATTACAAATAGAGAATTGGTAGTCAAAAGGCTACTTCAGTGTGCGAAAGGTTAATCGACACTTCTGTCATAAGCATTCAACATCCAGCCTGAGTGAATCTAGACTCGAGGCCTGGTTTTCATCTCCGTGTGTTTGAGAGAATAGTACGTCCCCTTCCACGAAACCCAGTTAACTCCATCTGCGTAGGAATGGTGGTGCCCAGCATGGTACAGGCCGTTCAGGTTGGAGTCATGACAGCTTTCGTACCACCAGGCTCCCTTGTAGGTCTGAGCACAGCTGAGATCATTGGTATCATTGTCTCTGTCCTTAGTGGAGAAAAACATTGACGGGTGTCGAGGTGCCAAAGAATCTCCTGAAAGAACATGCATGCATCAATATGAGGTATAGATTAAAGACTACTAAGGACTGATGGCACTACTGTAGAGTTTAGACCTCTAATTCAAAGAGGGTAAATTTTGCATTTCTCCATAGTTAATACTAATAGATCTTACAACACATTAACAATAGCTAAAACACATGGTCAGGTAAGTCACATTGTACACTATCAAAAGGCACTTTTAGAGATTGACAGGAAGTTAGGTCAAAGGCCCTAGAAGGTCCAAGAAAAGGTTATCTCATCTCCTGTCTTTAATTTCCTGCTGTATGCAGGTCTGTTGCCTTATTATGAGAGCTAGAGGGAAAATGCATACTTGACAGGAAGCAATTCACAATAATGAATAAAGCAAAAAAATTCCCCAAACTTTGAATATTTTACAGAGTTATGAGCTTTTCAAATTCTTGTTTTTACCTGCCGTTCCTGAATATCCCCCTACAGTCAGTCTGTACATGTGCCCTTCATCCTCCACCCTGAAGGTGTTGTACTTGGCGAAGGCTGAGTTTCCCTCCATGTCTTCCATGTCTATCCTTAGTTCATATCCTCCCAGTCCTGTCAGGTCATGGATGTTGTCATTACCTGTTGTGTTGGGAATAAGTGGTGTTAGTAATCTTCTAAAGGGGCATTACATGTATGTAACAGTTTTGCTCCAAAAATTGAAATATATTAATCAAGAAAAATCTCCATGTGATTGTCATTTACTGCCACTTCTCAACATATCTGTGCTATTATCTCACATTTCTGACATTTATGGTTGGTGACAAAACAGCCCACACATGTACGAAGTGCACACATTTTGAGGCACCACCCCAAAATACCAGAATGTAAACAAACATGTCAGACAACTACAGTGCTTCCAGCCTAAGTTTAAATACGCTTGTACATGTATGGTGTAATATTTTGGCACCTCCACTTCCTGAATGACATTAAGTTGCAATGGATTTAACTTACTTTGTAAAGAAATGACCAGAAAATTGACTTTTAGTATTGTCCTAATGTTACATAATGCAACTTTAATATACAAATTTGGTTGTTTTTCTATTAATCATTTAATGGACAACATTTTTGTCCCTTACCCAACCAGAATTCTCCCCTGAGGTCCCCAAACCCTGTCTTGTAGGCCTGCCAGTCCAGGTAGAAATCCACGGAACCATCCTGACGCCTTTGGAAAACCTAAGAATGATACACAGATGTTGTTGTTGAAATATTTCACTCCTTATGATACATACATGTATCATAGGTATTTCAGGAATATGTATTTTTATAACTATCTTTAGTACTTTACTGAGAAGGTTATGTTTGTGTGTCCTTGGTGTGTCCATACAATAATGTATTTTTTTTATTGAAAGCATAATAGAGGAACATCATTGTTGTGGTACGTTGGTAGGTGTTGGAAGGCATCGTTACATTTTGGGACCCCTAGTGGCTTTCTAATAAGGTACTGGAGCAAGATATCAGGTTTTCAAATGGACCCAAATGTATGAGAAATTTGAAAATTTAAAGGAGATGTCCATACCGTCCATCCTCCCCCATCAGTGTCCATGTCACAGTAGACATGTATAGGACTGATGCCCCCTGCTGTAGGGTAGATGATGTAAACACCACTTGTGTCGTGTCCGCTGTTCAGTAGTTCCCAGCAGTTACGAGGTCCAGTCACCTTGTCTGTACACAAACAAACAAACAAACAAAGCGCAATTGTCAAAAATGAAAAAAAATGGACTTGGATGTTGAAATCAATGTTCTTACAATTTTTGTTGTTGTTTTTGTTTGGTGTTCTGGTGCCTCGGGTGGTACAGAATATACTGTATTTTATCCTTTTTTATTTTACATTATTTGCATAATACTAATGATCAAGAACATGCTAAACCATGAGCTGGTCTGGAAGAGTTTGATACATGGTTACACACTATACCAACAGTATGCATAATATATTTACCCTGTTAGAGTCCATAGTCCAGGTTCTGCTAAACTACATGACAGTCATTATATTTTATAAATCGGATTGTCAACTCCGTACCCTCCAGTTGCTGCAGACTTGTAGTACACTGCTGCAGTGTTATCTCCTGTTGCTGCAGAGTTCCCTGCAGCTGCTGTAAAGCTGCAGCCTGCTGCTGGATGATGCTGTCTTGACTGCTGACTGTGGCCTGAAGAGCCTCCACTGTGGCCTGCAGATCACTCTCAGCCTGAAACTGGTTTAAAAAATTAATGCTCTCAGTTTTCGCTGAAGCTCAAAGTCAAGTCAGAGAATTGTAAAAATTTTATCTGCAGAAAGAACAAAGCAAACACTTTTTTCAAGGCATGTCTAGTACATGTTTCAGGACTGGTCCTTTGTAAGGTTTAAGATTCAGTTACTGTTACAGTATAGTATAGATCTTGCATTTAGTGTGCCTTTATTAAGTAGATAGGCTATGAGATACTAGACTGGTGCACTGTGCAGAAGAGAAGCGGATGCTGAGAAAAGTACTTTGCAACAGACCTTAGCAAGCTTACAGATGTGCCCTATGTGGCAGAGACTGTCATTCTCGTAAAGGACTGTTCAGCCATTGATGAAGCTGTAGGGCTGTTATCATTCTTGATTTTACCATAGTCGATAACTGACTGAAGGAGGCCATAGCTATATAGTGAGATGGGCTTGGGAAAGGTTTTGAGCATCCGCTTGACTATAGATACCATCATATGAATACAGTTTTCCCCATAACACACTGTGTTCTTTTAAAAATGACATCAGGAAGCACATGCACATGTGTTTGTACTCACTTCAGCCAGCTCCTGTTGAGCTAGCTGTTGCAGCTGTCCATCCAGACTGTCAGTCTTGTTCTTCAGCTGTTCGAGCTGTCCCTCTATGCTATCCTGTGTGCTCAAGTACAGCAAGAGATGATCGAGAGCTGCACTGGGCTCCGAGGGACAGCACATTGTGCACTGTCCAGTAACTTGATTGTGTGTTGCTGCTGTCCCGTCATGGGATAGGTCAGGGAGGTTTTTGACAGTTGCTGTCCCTCCCTGTTGCAGCAGTGTTAGGACAGCTAGAAGCACCAACTTTCCCATCGTGTTGCTTGTCAGAAATAGACTGTGAAATCCTCGTCTTTTTTAAGCAAGATCAGCTCAGTACCGCTCTATATTTTTGTATATTGGTGGATCACCAGGATGTATACAAAATATAGAGGTCTTAAGTAGTTTTAATGGCTGTTGACTATTTGCACACAGCTCAGTTTTCTTCCACAAAGATAATTTGGCCAGATAGATGCTGAAAGGTACCATAACAATGACCCAGTTGGCAAGCTTTGAGTACAGATAATTAGTGATAAAGCATCAAGTTTAAAAAACACACACAGTGTTTTAGTAAACTTTGGCTTCATCAGACACGTACTAAGTACTTTGTAGTGATGGCTTTTGACTGTTTGTTATCTGAATGTTTGCTGAACAAATCTGGCTATTCAATGCACAAGCAAACATTTTTGCTCTTATATAAGGGTTGGTTTTTCCAATATGCTGAAATCAGCAAATTTACTACCAAATATTGGTTTGGGCAGCTGAGTCTCGAAGTTTGTCTGAGTGTCCAGATTAGGTTGACAGCACATGGGTGGGTGGGTGTTCAAAGGTCTTAGAATCTGGCCAGATGCCATCAGGGGAAAGTCATATGTTTTTCCAGCCAAGGTTTTCCAGAAGTTTGAAATTTTCGATTTCTTGAGTACCGGGGTAGTATGTAATTTTTTTACTAAATTAAATGTACTATGTATGGTTTCTTTGCTTTGAAGAGTCACTAGCTCCTCACCTAAAGTACTTTCTGTCTAATGTTGTGTGTTTTTTCCCCTCCAGACCAGATTGACTGTCCAGAGGAGACTCGCTTCAGGTGCAGCAATGGTCCGTGCATCCCTCGCTGGAAACTCTGTAACCTCAGGGACGACTGTGGAGACGCTAGCGATGAAAACAACCACACCATATGTACGTCAACAAATGTTATTTCGTTGAAATATATACATTGTCACACATATCCAAATATGGACTCCCAAACACTGCCTAGCTCCACCAACCATGGTTAGGAGTAGGTCGAGTGTAATGTAATGTAAGTGTTCAGCTGTGAATGTTTAAAACTTTCAGGTGTTGAGGTTGATCTATGGTTTGCTGGTGTTTTTGGAGTAGAGTGGGGCATAGTTGGCAGTCAAATTTGACTCAAAATGAACTCAAATTCGATTTGAGTTGTATTGAAAGGTAGGCATGGCCTATCTGGTCAGACTACTTAGTACAAACCTCAACCAACCTTGGTCGGTTACATTGATGTTAGGGGAAAGGTTCTGAATGTGTGACAGGCTTCAGTTGACCAGTGTTAAATGTTGTCTTGTCTCCAGGCCAGCCAACTCGACAGAACTGCAGAGATAATGAGTTTAAGTGTGAGAACCACAACTGTGTGTCCAGCACTAAACTGTGCGACAATGCTGACGACTGTGGAGACATGTCAGATGAGTACGGCTGTAGTAAGTATATCACAGAAATATTTATTTTACCATTAAAAGACTGGATACTGCTACAACTAAAGTTGTGGAAGGATTGACATAACAGGTGACTATCATATTTCTCTGTCGTACATGTACTGGGCAGCTTATTTAGATGTTAATCAAATATTCTGTAATTATACAATACCCTGATAAATAAAAGCAATAACTTACATTAATTTTCTTGCTTTTAAAACCCATTTTATTTACAAGCCAACATGACGGGAGACTTGTTGAGCAAAGGTTTTATTTTACTTTATTTTAATTAAGTTTAAAGATTTCAATACTTTTGATATGTTTTGCTTTACTGATGATTTTTTTATGTTTAATTTTTTTTTCTGATTAAGGCCAAACCAATTTCATCAATTTTTTTTTTTTTAATTCTTCACCTTAATTTTCTCTGGTTCTAAAAGAAATTTCAAGTTCTGAATCAACTCCAAAATGCTCATGTCAAAGCACCATCACTATTAAAAGTTCCTTTCTGCATTTAATACAGCCTCAAATAAATGTATTTACAATTTAGAGACAGCGATAAAATAATGTTCCCAAACTAAAAATTTTGTACTTTCTGTTACAGACAGTAACAATGAGGAGAGGAATGAGTGTACAGATGGAGACCATGGATGTGAGAGGAACTGTACAGATATCCAGGGTGGTTATGTCTGCTCTTGTGGACCTGGGTATACCATATCAGCTGTGGACAGCAGGTCTTGTGGAGGTAAGTTTGGCAAAGCTTGTTTAGATCTTTACATTCATTTTATATCATGTATCTTGAAATGTACTATGTTACATTGTTCCAAGATACTAATGATTATACAAGATGGCTGAAGGTCATTGGAAATATTCTATTGTATTAAACAACAGAAACAGACAGCAATATCACTATATATATTACTTACTCTTGTTTTTGGTGGATGACCGCCCAATTGCTGACAGATGATTGATAGGAAGGTCAAGCCTGAAGATGACCCAGCATGTGTCTGGTGAGAGTAAGTGGGCTGTATATGGAGGAATTCAGGAAGTGGCATAATACCAGAGATAAATTTACATCATGTTCCACTACATTTATGAAATCCCAAAACACTTCATGGAAGTCTGAAATCTCCTACTTATTGTTTTCCAGACGTGAATGAGTGTGAGGTATTCGGCAGCTGTCCTCAGGGCTGCAGGAACAACAAGGGGTCGTTCCGCTGTGTGTGTTCCCGCGGCTTCAGACTGGAGGGTGCTGATGTGCCTGTCTGTAAGGCTGCCGATGGTAGGTCCATACAGAATCATCCTATAATCTGCTTTGAATGAGTACTGTGGTTAGGAAGAGGGTATTTTAATATTAGACAGTAATTTATGAGTATACAATATACAAGGAAGTGTGTACATGCCTTGGCATGCTTACGTGTATCCTCCCTGTATTTACATTTGAGCTATGGCACCATAAATATGTGTTGTAAACAATGGATGAACATCATCATAATTGTTTTGACTGATAAGCCTTATTTTCCATTCCTACCGAGAAATTATATAATACCTCCAAAAAGGAATGAATCAAGATATATATTTATATAACTATATATAATTAAGATTTATATTATATTTATCATAAGTGTTGTATAAAGAAAGTTAGTCACATTGTATTTACAAACACATTTATTCTCGTATCCACAGGAGAGGCTAAGTTTGTAATTTTCAGCGACGGCCCGGAAATGAGGCGGTATTACCCTGAGGGAGGCAACATTGGAGAGTACAACGACCTGATTATCGGGGAACGGCGAATCAAGGCCCTCGATTACGACTACAACTACGCCACCATGTCCAGTCGTAGGCGCAGGGATGTTACTGATGGTAGTGCAGGTAGGGACTACACCGTTCACTTGTTATAATATATCGTGCTGGTATCTTTGCATTTCTTTTTTATTGAGGCCATTTTGTGTTGGGCCTTTTTTCCAGTACATGTATTGATTTTTACTTGGAAATTCCTGATTTTCTACATAAATCCATAAATAGGCTGATGTGAATGTCATTCAGAACCTGTGACAGCTGTGTCAGTGTAAATGTTATTCAGCACCAAGGACATCTGTATAAGTGTGGATCTCATTCAGTACCAAGGACAGCAATGCCTGTATAAATGTCATTCAGCAGCAGAGACATTTGTGTCAATGGGAATGCTGTTCAGCACCAAGGATAGCTATATTTATGTGCATGTTATTTGGCAATGAGAACAGCAACTTCAGTGGGAATGTCATTCAGCACCAAGGACAGCTAAGTTAGGGATAGCTGTGTCCATGTAGATGTCATTCAACACCAAGGACAGCTATGCCAGTGTGAATGTCATTCAGCAGCAAGGATCGCTATTACCATGACTTGCTCAGAATCAAGGACACACACACAAGTTAGTGTTAGAGTATCAGAGCGAATGTTAACCCTAGGGCCAGCAATGGTGGTGTGGTCATTACTCAACATGAACCTGTTTTTGCCCCTCTCTCAGGTCTTGTGTACTTCACTGACACCTCCTCAAAGACCATCAAGCGTGCATCCCTCCCCACGGACCCCGCCCACCTTGGTATCACCCAGGACCTGGGCATCTCCGACCTGTCCGAGCCTGACGGCATCGCTGTGGACTGGGTCTCTGGGTAAGGCACTCTTTTTTTTGGCTACACCACAGGGGTGGATCCAATAGCATTGTATTGATCTGCTTTGGACATAGCCTATGGCTATCTACACACTACGGCTGCAATATGATTCTAAATATAAGATTCTACATGAAATATACTAAGTCTTGTTCTTGGTTTTTGAAAGGCAAAGTAGTCAACTGTTTTATTGGGATAAAAAGAGGCTGAAAAAATGTCCATCCCCCGTAACTAAGAATTCCTGACTATGAATGCAGTACAAGTGTGGATGCAAATTGTACTCATGTACTGAACATTTATTGTGGTTCCTCTCTTAGCCTTCTGTACTGGACTGATGCTGGCACCAATAAGATTGAAGTGTCCATGCTGGACGGTCGCTACAGGAAGACCCTCATCAGTAACAACCTGGACAAACCTGCAGCTATCGCTGTCAACCCTGAGAAGGGGTAGGTAGACCCCTTAGTGTTTAACATGCAATGTATTGATGCATTGTAGAAAAACTTTCTGTCTGCCTTTATGAGCATCCATCTGTTTAAGGCTTGATAGATTTAGGATTGCGATGATGTGAGCCAGTAATTTTCTGCATATATCATCTAACAAACTACTACATGGGAAAGCTTGTAGGTTTATGCTGGCCTCTCCATCTCTGTCCTGCAACTTACTACATAATGTAATCCAACACCAAAGGGTGTCTGCTACATCATAGTTACAATGGTGACAGCTGTCTGATCCAGGTCGTTGACTTTATTTGTTGTAGGAGAAGAAGAAACACAGCAAAAACGTTATGTTTTCCTTCTGCAAAGAAACATATTAATTTTAATCTCTTGTACCTTTCCAGTGTGATGTACTGGACAGACTGGGGGGCTGTTCCGAAGATCGAGCAGGCGTGGTTGAACGGGGAGCAGCGACAGGTGGTGGTCGGCACGCAGCTCGGCTGGCCGACCGGGCTGACCATCGACTACATGAACAACCACCGTGTGTACTGGTGCGACGCCAAGGAAAATGTCATCGAGTCCATCAACTGGGACGGGACAGACAGACAGATGGTTCTCAGTGGAGGTGAGACATACTACAAGCTACTTCACAGTTTGAAGTGTACATGTCTAATGTGATGCATTTCAAGTTGAAGCAACTGGCCATTTACATTGCCAGGAGCCTTAAAATTCCTTAAAATTGATTTTCTAATGGTGACACTCACTCACACACTGTCCGGTTTATTGTCTGTTGTTCCCCGTCTTTCGAGGGTCAGATGTGCTTGCACTGCAATACTGAGGCTTGATGGCAGCCCGCCACTTGCCTCTGTCCTGTGGGTTCATGTTGTAGGTATTCTTTGTCTATGCAAATGGTTGATCCCATAGCAGCTTCCTTTTGAATTTCAAATAAGCTACTTCAGGGTTTAAAGACATCCAGTTTCAGGTTGGCAAAACTGGATTTTCAAAGTCATGTAGTAAGTTGAATCAACCCTTATCCCATAGCATATCCGTAATGTCTGTGAGGCAAAAACATGTCACTGATGGAAAGTGGTTGCTTGTTTTGTATCGTTGGATGGTTCTAGCTATTTATGGGTTGCCTGACCATGTTTTATTGCTGTTTTGAATGCAGCTCTGGAGAATCCGTTCCGACTGGATGTGTTTGAGGGAGAGCTGTTCTGGACCACCCAGACAACAGGGAACATCTACCACCAGGACAAGTTTGGCCGAGGGGTGAAAGTCCTGCTGCAGTCAGGAATCAACCTCCCCACAGACATCAAGATCCACCAGAAACTCAGATACGACCAGGAAGGTTGGTGTTTTCCTGTTTTAATTTGTTGATAGCATGTTTATGTTTGGTTTATCTCCATTCAACAGTACCTACATGTCTTGTAGTCGTAGACTAAAGCCTTAGCTCTTAGTTCAAACTGATGCGCTATCTGGTCATCTCTATATTCCTGTTTGCCTGCAAATCCTGGACTTTGACTGCAAAACTCAAGAAAAGAATACAGACCACAGTGATGAAATTCTCCTGGAAGATTCTAGGGATCACTAACAAAGACCACATCTCAAATGAAAAAAAACTCAAAACAGAGTCAAATAAAGCATACATTGTAGGACCTAGTCCTTACAAAATCCTCCTAACCATAGTAATGAAATGAAAACTCATTGGGAGTAGCCAAAACTATCAAAATGCAAGGGACAGTCCGGGGAGGAAGAAAGAGGGGTTGGCAATGGAAAAGATGGCAGGATAATATCAGAAAATGTACCAGCACGACACTAAGTAAACTCAGTCAATACAGAAAACTGTTGGATCTTAAAGATGTTAGGATGTTAACATAAACTTTCAGCATGTAAAATAGCAACAGTAGAGCATCTTATATTGGTTATAACAGTTATCTTTCCCCACCCAGTGAATATAAGGTTCAAGTAGAATGTGTTAGCCTTTAGCATACTTTGATCTGTTAGATTGGCAGCAATTATAGGGTAATACATGAAACATGTTGTTGTTTCCTGTCCCAGTGAACACCAGGTGTAAGGAGAATGTTTGCAGTCACATGTGTCTACAGATCCCAGGTGGATATCGCTGTGTGTGTCCGGACGGGTCAGACTTCTTACCTGACAGCCAGACACAGTGTGATGCAGGTAGGGTCAACTGTGCAAGTGTCACAGTAATGTAGGTACATGTAGGTTTAACCATCCGAGTGTCACATTAATGGAGATAAGCTTAACCATCCAAGTGCCACATAACCTGTACACAATGTGTTGCATGTATTTTGAAAGGTTGTTCTAATCAAGCTAACAATACATTCCATGTCTAAACTGTTTCTTTGAGCATTAGCAAGTAGACTAAGTTATAGTCTATGTAGAATTTCACCAGTGTGTTTGCTTGATTTGCAGCTATTTCGGAGCCCATCGACCCCCCTCTTGTCTGCTCCTGTGTGAATGGAGGAGTCTGTGTCATCAGCCAGGGAATACCCAAGTGCAAGTAAGTTCAAAATTTAGCCAATACCATTAGGAAGACCACTCAAGACATTGTAAAGTGTACTGATGTGAAAGTTTCCACAGAAGGTTATGTCAACTTGCATGCATGCATGTCTATGATATATTTCCTTATTATCAAAATTGATGACTGTGAAGATTCAATGGAACAGTTTGACAGTACATGTTAGTTCCCTGTAGTGTCCATTTGTTAGTCCTACCTAAGCTGATGTATCTGTGTTGACTGTTCCCTACAGTTGTCCTAAGGGATATCTGGGCGATAACTGTGAGCTGGGAGCCTCCAGCAGTGGACCACCGGGAGGAGCAAGTAGGATATCTTTTTTTTTTTTTCAGGCCACACAAATGTGGTTTTACCTCTTTGGAAAACATGAAAATTATAATGACTTCTCTTGGCAGACTGTCTCTTACATTATAACAAAAACAGTAACACAAGTAACTGGATATGATTTTGGAAATGGTCAGAGGTGTCTCTTACATTGTGGACATGTTTTACATGATTGTCTGAAAAATGCAATAAACCCATACCTCCGTACAGCCTCCGTATGCCTATAGCATGATCTACAGAAACACAAGCACACACAAATGTACTGAAAACAAAACCTCCATACATGGTGGTAGAATCTGTATATTAATTATTTTAATATCTACACAAATTATGCATATGATGTGTTTTTATACACCATTTGTTGATTTGTTTAATTTCTTGTTGTTTCAGATGTTGCTGCAGTTGTTGTTCCCCTGCTGCTGATCCTGATCATAGTTCTGGCTATTGTTGGTTTCTTCTACTACAAGAGAAGGTGATCACCTTACGGTTTCTACATGTATCACTTCAGTTTATGCATATCCACATAAATACTTTCAAGATATAGAATCTAACAGTACACCTTTATATTTTTTTATTCATATGAAATCAGAGCAATTATGGCCACTATGGCTACTTCTTAGCCCTCTCCCTGCCGCTTAACCCCATAACCAATATAAATTTGGTACTGAACAGCTACCTTAGCAGGTTGAAGGTTGATATATCGGAGCTGTTGACTAAAAAATATTGTCATTTTTTTCTCGCCCTCCCAGAGGAGGGACCTTGCCCCAGCTGCCCCAGTTTTCTGATATCCAGCTGCCCAGGCCGAAGATGCCTGACATGTGAGTACTACTAACATCTAAGCACCTTGCTTGAGCAGGGTGGCAGGACGTACTGCACAGTGAAACCCGTGATGTATTTTGCATAGCACTTTGGCTGAAGGGTTTTATCCATAACTATATGAAGTCAATATATGATGATCTCTGAAAGGTTTTCATATCTTATTCAGTTCTGTGATGAATCATATTTTTTTCTCTCTCAAAATTTGACAATCTCTTTCCTTCTTTCCTTCCACCCTCCTCTCCTGCTGTGACTCAGGGGTGGCTTCGGTTTCAGCAAACTGCCTCGATTCTCTGACCTTCCCAAGCCCAATGTCAAACTGCCATGGCTGTAAGTATGCTGTACACTGTCCTGTACTCAACCTCTACCTGCCACGTTAGACACCATAGTTACCTGTAGTCAAATTTTAGTTTGATTCCTTGGAGGAGACAGTCTGTTAACAATGACAAGCATGAAACATAACTTTTAGATGCTGTAAAAACATGTAAACTGTCCTGTACTTAAACTCTGCCTGCTCATATTTAGCCAATTTTAGCTTCCTTTCTAAGCCTATATATAGGAGGGGAGAGCAACCACACCGTTTGGATATCCCTTGTTATTGGCTGCAAATAGTTTTAATACATCACAAATGCTGCATGTACAGAAGTCAGTTTTTAAAATTAAGTTTCCATTTTGTTTTACATACAATAATGGACAGAGTGACATATTATTCAAACTATACAACTGAATCATTACAAATACCATTATATATTTTTCATGTTTTTGTGCAGCTTCAAGTCAGGGGTAATAGGAGGTAACGGCACCACAGGAGGAAGTGTGTCATTCCGAGATGGAACAAATGTGGAGCTGGGCACACCATCCTACATGGGCTACGACGATCAGGAGGCACTAGGGCCGGTAGGTTTAAATATCTTTTCTCTGACCAAAGTAAATCAACAGCTACTAAGGTGTGTGACCAGAGGAATTGTATCAAATGACTGAAAAATAAGGGTCCAGTAGCACATAATGTATTAGATTAGTTATTTAGGTTATTTGACTCTGTACTGATCTTCTTTGAACTGCTAGATTATTATCAGCTAGTCTGAGACTTTCTAGTACTAGAATGAAGTCCAGGAGAACTTTGTACTCATTTTGCCACATCTTTGTGTTTACATCTATAATCTAACAACAGTTCTATAGCCGTGTAACCCTTTTGTCTCCCCTTCAGCCATTGGACGGGATGGGCGGGGAGAAACCACCAATCACGTTCTCCAACCCGATGTACCAGGAGGCGGAGGGGGTGATGGTGGAGGCTGGGCCTCTGCCGGAGAAAACCGGCCTGCCCGCCGACTCCCCGGTCGCCCCTCCCCGGACCCAGCACGCCGCGTCCCCGCCCCCCGCCAGCCCCCCTCCCGCGTACTCGTCCCGCGAGACCAGTCCCGTCGTGGACCGGGAGGACGACAAGGCGGGGCTGGTGAGCGAGGCATGATGGGAAGGGAAGGATTACGTCTCCGATGATGCCAATGCTTGCTGTATAATCAGTGTTACCCATGACACAAACCCCACACCATAATTCACTTTTAACCCTTGTCCTGCTGGAATTTTTTACACAATATATTTCCAGATAATTTGATGTCATACATGTAGACCCTTGACTTTTTTTGCCCCGTGGTGGCGGTGTGATGCGTTGGACTAGAAATATCCCCAAATCGTACACATACAAGGGCTCTATATAGATAGTACTGTATGTACAACCCATATATGAGCTCTGCAGGACAAGGGTTTTAAAAACAGGTTATTTTTTGTGATGCCTCGGGGAAGAGGCTTTTTGGCTTTCCTTTTACACTGTGTGGGTAACAAGTTCTAAGCAATACTTGTTTTTGGTAAGAATGAATCTAGGAAGAGGTCTCAAAACCTACTGATGTACGTAATTTGTTTTTGACTTTGGAGTTCTAAAGATGCATGTTTTTGGTGTTACAATGATTTTTTCATCTGTCTTGAAGAGTGAGTTTTCTGTGAGGACCAAATTCAAAAGTTTTCATCTTCACAAAAAGCAACACTGTTCAGAATTCAGATTAGACTACAAGCTCTATTTCCACAATAATATCATCAGTTATGCTGCCAGAGTTTTTGACTTGCACACTTCATGAAACATTCCCCAAATAGTGCTATCATTCCAAAATATTGGTCAGAACATTCCAGTCATTCAAGAAAAACAAAACTGCCTAAAAAAAATTACTTTGAAGTTGACACAATCAAACTGTGTGCAGTAAATGCTGATGAGGTGTAGTAATAGCCATAGGGCTTGGCATTTTTTTTTGGCATACAAAAATGGCATTTTGAGGCTTTTAACTTCACATACATTGGAGCTGGAGCTATGGAGCTGAGATCACACTGTGGTTGACCTTCAGCCCAATTTCTTGATCGCTGAAGGTCACCAAATTTTACAATCGATAGGCGGTTAATATGATTAAATCACTTATTCCATAGACTACCAACTACAAAAATCAGTATCAAAATCCATTTAGTTGGTCTGTTTACAAAAGTATCAAGAACTGCTGGCAAAAAATATACTAGGAAGATTTCATTATGCATACAAATCATAGGACCTGGTATACTATACTTCATACTATTGACATATCCACTAAAATTCAACATCTAATTTGCATATTCCTGCTAGCACTATAGAAACAAGAGTGCCCCAATCTCACTACATGTATTATCCAAAATGGTGACTTTTATTCAGAAAATATCATGATGATAAGAGATGAATTTAAATGCAGTATGATACATATAAAGATTTATATACGAATATATCCACCCTGCCAAAGACATTTTAACTAAAGTTGTCAATTCAAACAAATTGCAATCAACTTTTATGAAAGTCAAATTATACTTTAAGTATAATTTAAGAGCCATATCTACCAAAAAATTTCATGCTTGACAATTTTTATTAGAAACTATCGATGGACCAAATGAAGCATGTGAATATGTTAATTGCAGAATTGAATATTTTTATAATAAATATCATAAGAGAATTGTGTGGACAAATCATT